GATTAAGAAGTGTGCTATTAGGAGTAGACTGAGAAAGATGTACTTTGTGTTTAACTATTTTAAGGTATTTGCCTAAGATTTGGTTATATTTGTATAAAGGAATTACAATATTGATAAGCTAATATTCAGTAGTTGGAATAATAACAGTGCTAATAATATAAGTAATTTGTTTATCAGTTATATTTTTGGTACCAGCAATATTGGCTAGCTGAATAGCTTCATTTTGAATTAGTTTGATTTGTGAAAACTGCTTGTTGTTGAGAATAAACCAGCATCCCAGAAATTTAAAGGGTTAATAGGGTGAAAATAGATTGCAAATTTGAATCAAAAAATGACAAACTAGAAGAAGATTCTGTGGAAATAAATATGGATTTGGTAGGATTGACTTGAATATCAGCCATGGAGTAAAAAAAGAAGGCGATTTTAGTAATTTCTTCAAGTTGTGTTTTGAATTGGGCAATCCATAATATATTGTCCATATAAGCAAGAACTGAAATAGATGTGTTAAGGTGATTTGTAAAAGGGCAGAAAGGCTAGTTTGATAAGAAGTAGAGAGTGTATATCCAGAAAAGTGTGTAGAAATATTGGAAATAAGGGTCATAATAGATTCTCCAAAATAAAGGAGTAATAGCTTCACCTTGATCAATACTATTTTTAACTGAATAGAAATTTGTAAGACCAAGATTAGTGATAACTCGGTTTGTGCGGTCAAATAAGAGATTGGTTAGGATATTAATAAGCTGTTGAGGCATTTGGATTCGGTATAGAGATTTTTGAAATAAGTCAAAGTTGACTGAGTCATAAGCTTTGCTCATATCCTAGGAGAGAAGCCAGAGTTGGTTGGAATTACAGTTTGCATTTTCAATTATATTATTAAGGATATGGATAGATATAGAAGTAGAGTTACTAGGAAGTACAACAAAGTTAAATGGTGATAGGATATTATGTTGAAATAAGGTAAGGTTAAGGTGGTTTGTAAGGAGTTTAGTGTATAGCTTTTTAATATGTTCTATTAGGCTAATAGGTCTGGTATTGGATAAGTTGCCATCAAAAATAGGTTTTTTAGAAATAGGAAAGATACGTCCTTCTTTCTATTGTTTGGGTATAGTTTGAAAAAAAAATAGCAATTGAAGAAAGATGTTATAGTAGTGATGAAGTTTGGGCCAGCATGTTTTAGCATTTTATAGCTAATGCCTGATGGGCTACAAGCTTTGTTGTTAGGAAGTTGATTAATAGTTAGCATAATTTCATCCTCAGTAAAGTTAATAAGGGTATTGGAATACCATATTGGGTTGATATTGGGTTTAGGATTATATTCTACTTGCCATTGAGAATTGAAATATCAAAGTTGATGTGTTGGGGAGCAGTTTAGTTTTCAAAATGTTGTTGGATATGAAATTTAATTGTTGGAGGATCCATAATAATATCATTATCTAGTCAGATATTGTTAAATTTAACTGGATCTTTGTGGCGGTTAAGAATACTGTTAATCATTGAAGTGGGATGAGTTTGGAGTTTATAACATCTTTTGTTAATAGCATCAGAAATTTGTTGTCTGATTTCTTTAATGTTTTTCATATTACGAGCATGGAAAAAATTTTTCCACTCTAAGTTAGCATCAGTAATCCAAGGAGTGAGAAGTTGGTAAGAGTTTGGAAGTAGATGAATATGTAACTCAGAGGAATGATTAAGTGAAAAGATAGAGGTATTAAAGTGTAAGGAATAGGTAACTGGTGTTTTAAAGCATGTTTAGTTTGTCGAATAATGTTGCCAGGTTTTTTAAAGTTTGAGTGTGGGTGAGTAGCCTTAGAAGAGAATGTGTATTGAAAATTACAAACAGTAAATTTTTTGTTGGGAATGTGTTTTAGAGCAGCTATAATTATACTAGTTTAAATTTTATACCAAGTAGTTTCAAGAGATTCTGAAGTGTTGGATAAGGAAGGAGTTTGATTGGAGTTAAGGTTGGTGTTAACTTGGTTTGAGAATTCTTCCCATTTTGTATTGTTCATAGTCTTGTAGATAAAAACCCTTCTACAGTGCGTGTTTTATGTCTGCGTTAACTATGCAAAGCATAAGGGAAAGTCCAGCGTGAAATGAGAATTTTATGATCACTTAGTGAGTTTGTATCTGTATTATCAGTATTAAAAGAGATAAGGTAAGTTAAAATAGTATGACAAGCCTAGATAAAGTTATTTTCACTACTGGATCTATAATTATGCCAAGTAGGAGCAGAAGAGGCAGTGTGTGAGGCGAGATTGTACATATTGTTATATGTGAGAAATTGAAGAGGTTTATATTTGATAGAAGAAAAGTGGATATTATTAGTGGAAGCATTGAAGTCTCCAAGTACTATAGGGAGTATATTAAGAGTATAAGCTTCTTGTATCTATTGAATAATTGTGTTCTGAGTTTTGAGTCTGGTAGAGCTATTATTACAAAGAAGGTATGTAGAGATAATGCAAAATTTAAAATTATGTTTGAAGAAAAGATCAATTAAAATAGCAAAGCCAGGAATAAATTTGGTATTGTGTATATGAGGAGTTAAAGAGTTACAGATCATAATAGAGGTTCCAGCTTTTGAGCTATCTGTACAGGATTGAAAATAGATATAATGTGATGTTTTAAGAGGTTTTAGAGTAAGTTTGTTGCTAGCTAGTTTGGTTTCAGTTAGACAAATGATGTCAAGATTATTGGAAAGACAGTAATGTTTCCAAATTTGCTGTTTAAGATTTTTGTTAAACCTCGAATATTGTGTGTATATATTGAAAGATTAAGAGGAGAAGGTGAGATAGTATTATTATATGAGCTATGAGTATATGATTTAAGAGGAATAAAGAGGTTAAGATAAACAGCATCAAGGTAGGGTATAATGATGTGGTTAGGTAAAGGGCAGGGCTCTCCTAATAAGTAATATGAGCTTCGCTAGAGTCAGATTTAATAGAAATAATAAGTTTTTCTTAGAGTTTATCCCATAAACCAATTTTGAGTAAGTGTAAAAAGAAAGAATTAATTGTTTGAGAATGTGAAAGAGGTGGGGATTTTAGTAATAAAAGGAATTTATTATAGCAGACAAAAATGTCATAAGGGGTGTTAAGAATTGTAATATGAATTTTAGGTATGTCTTCTACAGGGTCACTTGCCATATACCTGGCTCTTATGGTTCCGCAAGGAGTAGAAATACTCTGGTTGAGCGTTAGAGTATCGTTATTATCTACTTCTTCCAGGTAAATAGGCTTAACCACCTGCCTACTTACATCATTCTCTTCTCTAACTACTATGGTTGTATCTTTTAGAGAAGTGGTAGCTGTTTTCATGTTGGTTGTAGAAAACGAGTTTATAAAAAAGATTCCTCTTTGAGTTTTCAATTTTAGGAACTTCAAATTGAATGTTAAATTTAAGTGACAGGATTTTTTCAGCTTTGGGAAGAGCGGAAGTTAAGTAGTGTTTGGAGATTTGTGAAAAGGTGTGTTTAGTTTCATCCTCTTGGAAGAAAAGATCAAAATATGTGATTACTCTTGCTAGAAACTTAGTGGATATAATATCATTTGCAAGTAGTTCAATAGCTTATTTTTTGGATAAGTCTGAATGTTGTGATTTTCTACAGCTATATCTTGATAAGCTTGTAGGTATTGGTAAAAGTAAAAGTTACGGTGACCTTGGCTAAATGTTGTAGAATAATTTTTGCAGATTTGTTTTTTGGCTTCATCTGCAAGTTTGTCAATAGTTCTAGTAGGAATTGGTTTTTGGAAGGAAGCTGGGTATTTGTTGTCAATATGGAAGATTGAAGGGTCAATTGTGAAAATGAGGTAGTTTTCGTTTTCTTGTGCTGGGTATAATTCATCAAACTCTTTTTTGATAGCTTGGCGAAGGTCAGGAATATTATGTTGGTTGTTTTGAATATAAGAGCATTCCTTTCTTGTACAGATAAGCATGTGAAAATTGAGAATTCTTGAATATTCAAGTTGTTTTTTGAACAGGTTTATAGGTTGTGAAGGAGTATATTCAGTAGGTAGTAGTTTTTTAAGGTGTAAGGAGAATTCTTTTTTAATAAGATAACAAAGTTTGTTATATGTTTTTTGTTTGTTAATTGGTATAGATTGACGTTGATAGATTGGAAAGAAATTTCTAAACCATTTATCAAAGTTGTTTTCAGAGTTTTTAAGTAAAGGAATATTGAATTTGTATAAGAAGAAAGATTGTGGAAAATTGAATAAAAGATTGACATTAAATTTATGATCGGATTTTATTGTAAAGTATGCTTTATCTTGGCCTATAAAAATAATATGGGAGGTAATTGGGAAGGTTTTAGGGCAGAAATTGAAATCTTCAGTGAATTTGGTATAGTTGATACTTTGGTAATTTTCAGAGAGGTATAGATGCATACGAGCAAGGTTGAGACAAAATTGAAGTCAGTTTTCAGGCTTATATAGGAGTATAGTAAGAGCTGAGGCAAAAATTTCATGATAATTAAATTGGGTAAAAAGAATGGCAGTAAATTTATAGATTAAGTTCTTGAGTGTTGTTTCTAGGATATTAAAGTTAATGGATACTTTGGGATTAATGTCAGGGTTGTTAGTATAAATAAAATTTAATAGGAATTGGGGTTGAGCTGCAGCCATAGTGTGGATGAGATAGCAGAAGTTAGCTTTAAGTAGGTAGAGGTTTCTGTAGTTGGCTTCTTTAAGGATCTTGCCAGGGTAAAAATTATGAAGGTGGAGTTTGAGAAAATCAAAAAGTTTGAAAGCCATAGGTGTTTCTAGTTTAGTTTGTGGTTTCATTTCTTCAGTAATGGAAAGTTGAAAAACCAATCAAAGGAAAGCTTTGCTTTAGGTTTTTTGACTACAGAAGCATAATTAATAGTGTTGTTGTTGCTATTGTTATTGTTGTTAGTGTTATTGTTAGTACTATTATCATTATTCTTAGTATGATTAGTATTGTTGAAAAGTTTTGTAGAGTTTTGGTTAGTATTATTAGTAGTAGGGCCCAGTAGTTGAGTAGTGATGTTTGTTGTTAGATTGTTGAATGTAGAAGTTTGAGGTTGAGTGAATGTATTTGGGTTGGGTAGTTGAGTAGTTATAACTGGTGTAGGAATAGTAAGTTTGGAGGCTTGAGGTAGTTTGAAAAAAGTTGGAGTTGTTTGGCTGTTTGTAGTTTGATTTGTGTTGGAGGTGGAGTTATTAGATATAGGAGGTAATACAGTTTGAGCAAAATCGAGTTTAGTTAAATTGATTTTCATAGACTAAGAAACTTGAGATTGTGGGTTGGAATTAAATTGAGTTTTGGTTTTTACTGATTTGGGATCGATTTCTATTGAGTAAGAGGCTTGGAATAGTAGTGTAGTTAAAGGTTGAAGTGTTGGGGTTAGAGGGTTTGGTTGAGGTTGGGTTTTAGGTATATATACAGGCTTGGATAAGGGAGTATTGGCAGTATAAGTATTAGAAGGTTGGGAAACTTTGTTGTTATTGTTGATATTAGAAGAAAGAGTTGCTTAAGTTTGGTAGTTGTAGTAGCTTTAAAAGCTGGGGTTAAGTTTCTTCTAGCATCTTCAAGAGGAGGTTGGGTTGAGGTGGAAGTTGTAGCAGTAGAGGAGGATGAGGCTTCTATAGAACAGATACTGTAATACACTTTGTTGTTTACAAAGAAATAGAGTTCACAAGGGTAATGTCTGCTATTTATGATTTTACAAACAATAATTTTGCAATATTTTGGGCAAGTATGTTGGCATGGTTTAGGTGTTGGAGATGGGAGTATGTTGGTAAATAGTATTAGTATATAAGCAAAATTGTGTGTAGTATTTACTACATAAGCAGGTAACAACTGAAGTAGAAGCAGGAGTACTAAAGAAATGAGTTGATTTGGTACTAGATCTGGTGAATTTGACAAGGCAGGTGGTTGGACTTTGTTTTGGTGGAATTGGTTTAATGTTGTCAGCTTTATCATCTTCAAAGAATGCAACTCCAAAGCTACCTTTGCAGTGAGTATAAAAATGGTCAAGATCTGCCATGTCAGGATCTTAGTCGATTAAAGTAGGCATAATGGACTTAGAAAAATAGTAGGTATATTGAACTTTTAGTATTTGCAGTAATTATGTTTGTAAAATATAACAAAAAGTTTAAGTAATAATAATAGAAATATCTAAAAATAGAAAAAAATTTCCAAGTTAAAAAAGGAGTAATAAGGTAACAAGTTATGTGCTTGTTTATACGCTAGGAGTTTTTTAGTATTAGCTTTGATTTTTATTATCTTTGTTATTTACGAGAATAGATTTACAAATTTTTTAAATACAATTGTAAAGATAATCAATTAAATCCTGGAGTTTTGTAATAAGAAAATTAAGAATTTAAATAATTATTAAATTAAAAAATTGCATGGTATTCTCTTGATTTGATCATATGTACGTATGTTTGTACATATGTATTTAGGTATACTTATACTACGAGTAGTTGAATATTTGAAATATTATTTTATAACTGATATTTTTTGACTATACTATATCAGTTTTAGACCTTCGTTGAACAGGGGAGGATGTTGAAACATTACAAAATTGTTATACAATTAATAAAAAATCTTTTTATATTATTCTACAATACTTTTTTGGAAGGCTTGCTTGACTTACATTTTATATGAATACTGAAAATTTTTAAACAAATATGAAGCTCTCACTTTGTTTTACAACAAATTTTTTTGAAACTCTTTGTTTCGTCTTTTTGTAAATTTCGTAATTTGATTGGTTGATTAATCCCGTAGTGATATCTGACTAGTCGATACAATGAGTGATCTGTATAATGGAGAATAAAAATCATATCTATATTTGGACGTTTTCTTCTGTTCCTTTGTAGTAGTGTTTACAGCATTTGAGATTGTAGTTTGTTTGATTAGTTTCAAACACTTTGTAGCTTTTTTTGTTTTTTTTTATAAGCAGTTTTTTTTTTTTGTTTTTTTTTTCCCTATTAAATACAGTTGATTTTTTTTTTTTATAATAAGTGAAGAATAAACTTTACTCATATTTTAATACATTAAAAAATGTTTTATGCAGCTGAGGATTAACTTATTTTGGTATGCATTATTATACATCATGTAGAGTAAGCTCATGATAATGAAGTTTTGTAGTAATAATTTTAGAGATAAATAGGTAGATAGTTGATTAAAAAGAGGAATTAATAGTGAGTAAAGGATGTTTTTAATTGTGTGATTATTTGTTTTTATTAAGACATTTGAAAGGAAGATGAAATAGTTTAAAAGTATGGTTATTGGTATGCACCAGTCTGTGATGTAATATGAAATAAATAAAGTAAGTGTTATAAGAAATATTTGAATCACAGGTAGATATAGTAATAAATTATGTTTTAGTTTATAGTCGGAATAACGAATTAGGTAAAAATTCAAGGCAATACAAAAGAAAAAAATGAATAAGGAAACTTCAAGTAAAAGTTTTAATAATTGGATTATGAGATATATCATTGATCCTATTAAGATGATTGAGAGGAGTATGAAAAACAGAATTGAGAAGATGCAAAGAATAAGTAGAAGTGTAAAAAACATTTTGAGAATTAAAGGTGGAGTATGTTGAAAGATTTTTTTTTTTAGAAAACAAAATTTTTAGGTACAAATTTTTTAACGAAGTTTTTATAATGATTTCGAGTAAAAGATGAGTATGGTAAAAATTAGTTTTTGCTTATTGTGATGGTAGTTTGTTTATTTATATTTGTTTTACATCTCTAATTCATTAGAAGTTTTTTTTTAATATTGTTAATATTTATTGTTTAGTAATAGTGTTCTTTTATATAGTTTCTTACAAAGTAATTATATCGAGTAAGTTGAATATATATAAGATAAATTTTGTTTTATTTAGTGAGGGTGTTCTCAGGCATTCTATTCGTTAGATTATAAGTAGTTTTTTTTTATTTATTATGTTGATGAACAAATAAGTAAGTCGATAATTGCTTGTTTTGTTAGATATTTACAAAATTTTATTCGGTAAAGGTCATTCAATTAATATTTTAATTTATTTTGTATTGCGAATATACACTAAATTATTTATAATATGTTTATAATATGTTTATAATATTAATAAGTTTTTTACAAGAGAGTTAACAGAGCTTACTAAGACTTTTATTATATGCTATTTATATTTTTAAATAATAAAGGTTTCTGTAAAGCATTGAATACACTTATAGATGAAAATCTAATAATGTCATTGTATTGGATAAGGGGTGTTCTCAAACATTTTATTTTGAATCAGAAGTAAGTCTTAATCAATCGGGAATTAATTTAATTAATTGAATGAGTTAGTATCTCGAAGAATAAATAACCAAGTCATAACCCATTTTATTTCTTTAGGATTTATCATAGATAAAGGTTTCTTGAGTATTATTTTTACATATTTTGCATATTCGACATAATAAATAAATAATTTTTAACTCTAATCAGTGTGAAAGGTTGGGTATTTTATTTTTAATGTTTGAATCTTTTAAAATAAACAATCTATAAATTAATATAAATTCAATAATCGTTTAACGTTTAAACCAAACCAAACTATAATAAACACTGATCTTTTATTTTTTACTAATTTAAGTTAAAATCTTTTCAGTAAAGAAGATCTGAGGCTGAAAATCTTGTTAGTAATTGTTAATATTAAATATGGTGAGGAATTTTTTTAAAGTAATATTTATATTATACATTTTACAGAAATATTTTAAAATTATTTTTAATTATATGTAATATTTAAAGTTTTAGTTATCTTGATTTGTGATATAATTGGTTTTATCCAATGTAGAGTGGTATTTGTGTGAAGTAATTACCTAATAATTTTATAAATAGTTCTATTTATTTAAAAATTTGTTATAATACGTTTCAAATTAGTCGAATAATTAATAATTGGGTTTTTTTTTGATGTTCTAAAATTAAGTTGCATCGTGATTTTTTATGCTGATAATAGTTTTTTTTTATTTTTTGTTGTAATTAGATCTATTTTTTATTTTTTTTTTGCTTTGTAATTTAAGTATAGTGGGCATGTTTGTAAATAGATTTAATAGATGATTAGATGTTAATGTTTAAATTGACTTCAAATAGATTTTAGTTGATTTAAGCAGTAAACAGAATAGATATGGGTTTGTCTTATTTTAGTTGATAGTGATGTAGCTCATTAGTAGTTAGTACGATTAAGGTTATTTTAAATCAAACAAATGCGGAAATGAATTGCACTTACATTTGTCATACACTACTGAATAGTTGGTGTTGTGGTTGTGGGTGTGTTGAGTTTGTGTCATTGTTACAATTATTGAGAGTTGCTTTTGTTATTAATCTTATAAAGAGATTGATCATTTCGATCATTCATATCTTCAATTTTTTATCGCTTTTCAACATTAACTTTTAAGATGACCTTTGTACTACTTTTTGTTATTTTCGTTTTCATCACGATTCTCCATTTTTTTGGTTTCCCAATGATTTCTGATTATAATTCTCCTCTTGTTAAGTTTTTTAATAAAGTTTATCCATCATTTATTAGTTTCTTTTCTTTTTACCATCATTTTTTTGTATGTTTGATGATCTTCTTGTGTGATCTAACGTGTTGGTACATGTTGGTATTTGTCTTTCCTGAAGTTTCGATTTTTCTTGGTGTTGTCTTTTTTAAATCAATTATTTTATTTTTGAAATTTATAAAAAATTCGTTCTTTGTTATCAAGATATCGCTTTTTATTGTATTCGTGACTTTGGTTCAGATTATAATTACCACGATTTTGATGTATATTTTATACAAACATCTGGATTTGGCTGTGATAATCAATTTTTTTCTAGAGAAACTCGTGTTTTAAGGTAAGTTAAATTAGTTAAGTTTTTATATATTTTAGTTATATTTTTTAAATATTTATATCTTTTTTTTTAGAAAAGAAAGCTGATTGAAAATAAATTTGTTACCGAATACAATGATTGTGTGTTTCTATTCAAGTATTTGGAATTATGATCGTCATATATAGTGGGTTTGGATTAAGATTGGTATTTCAACATTTTATCAGAATTTTTTTTTAATCTAAATTGATACATTAGGAATGTACTGAAAATTTTAGACATTTTATTATGAGTTATTTATTTAACTAATAGTTTTAAATTATCTTTAAAATGAATTTCATATTTAATGTGTGATGAAAGAAGTGAGAAATTTTAAATGAGTTTACTTATTTTTATTTTTTTTGCTTTTTAGAAAATGCTTCACTTGTTATATTCTTTTTGATTGTATTGTTTTAGTATATATTTTTAGTATTCAGAATAAGAATGTATATATATTTTTTTTTTTGTGAAGAATTTATCTGTTCATTTTTGTTGAATGGGCTAATTATGTTTTGTAATATTAGTTGAAAGTAGAGATCAAGCAAAATTGTATTTTATGGATTTTAGTACTATTTATATATGTATTATAGTAATGATGCATGTAGATCAATCACATGCACTGCGCTCATATGTATATTTATTTATAGTTTTATAGTTTTGAACAAATTTAGATCAGGATTTTAGATAATCAATTAAAATATTCAAGAAAGGAATTTTTTTTATGTATCGTAAAATTTATTCTTTATCACATATGTGATAGTTCCTTTCTGTGTATATCGTTTAGTCTAGCATATTCATTCATAACTAATATACAGTATTAGTTTTAACTGAGTTGAAGTCGAAGTTTAGGATATTAATAAAATCCCAAGTAGGTGCTCTACTTATCATAACATATACCTGTCCTTCTGTGAAAATATTTTCGTCAACACTAAGTGTAGTGTTAGGTAAAGTTAATCTTTAAGTTTTGTGGATTGTCAGAGTGAAGGCATTTTGGTGGGGGAATTGGTGCCTTGATGCTGAGTTTTCATTGATTTCGAAGTATGATTTTTCTTTTTGTATGTTTAGTTTGATAATGTCTGTTGTTGTTGGGAAAGTTACTTCGACGGTTTGCTTGTTTATTATATTTGTTACAACTTCTATTGTACCATTACAAATGTTGTGGTCAAATAGTTTGTTGTTAAGGAACATAACTCTTGCACCTTCTTTTAAAATTATTTCATCAGGTAAGTTGGTATAACAATTAAAGTTAAGGTTGCTATGGTCATCTGTGTTAAGTAGTTTATGGTTAAGAGTGTTAGTAGCTTTCAATATTATAGTGTTTATGCCATATTCGTTATTAGAAAGATTTTTGCATATAATCTTATTAATTTCTTTAGCAGTATTGTGTGTTCCCACAAGATGAGTCGATGCAATGATATTGTGGTTGGGTTAGAGTTTTGGATTTTTTCATTGATCATTTTTTTCGATTCTTGAGATAGACGTTTGTAGTGTAATTCTTGGAGTAAATTGTAGAAGCTTGAATCAGTTCTTTGCCTTTTTGGTTGGGTTAAGAATAATGGGAAAATCTTTTCCAGACTAGTGAATGGAATGCATACTGAGCATTTATAGGCGGTAGTTGGAAGAGGTCACCGATAAGTAGCACGGGTATTTCTTCAAATATTTTTGCATTATTGTAAATAGAGCCAAACATGTTACTTATAAATGAGAGTAGTTTACTAGAAACCATGGATACTTCTTCTATTATTAAGGCTTGGATTTTTTTTAGTTCTTCTTTTGCTCTATGATTATGGGTTATTAAGGTTTCATAATGAGATAGGGTTTGTCTTATTTTTAGTGCTGAATTAATGGTTTTTTCACCAACGTTCTAGGCAGCCACGCCAGTGGGTGCTATTACAAGGTAATTGATTTTTCTGAATTTTAACAGGTTAAGGATTATGTATAGGAGGTATGATTTACTGGTGCTAGCTGATCCCGTTAAGAAGAAATAAGGATATTTTCCGTTATTTTCTAGTTCCCAAGAGTTAGAAAGTATGTCATAGATTGAATACTGGTCTTCATTCAGCATTAGCGTATAATGTGAGTTTATTGTAGGTGTTTTGCGTTCTAACAAAATTAGTTGGTTAAGGATTAATTCGTGAAGTTCCATATTATTTAGGTTGGTCAATATTTCTTCTATGATTCTTTTGTAGGCGTTTAAAGTTCGAAGTTGTTGCATTATGGAGGTGTTGATTAATCTGTTTATTTCTTGCTCGCATTGGTCTGAAAATAAAGATTTAAATCTTTCAAAATAACTTGGTTGGTCTCCAAGGAGTTCTTCTTCCAAATAACATGAAATTTTTATTATCAGATATTGAAAGAAGAAAGGTTCTCCTACAAAGTAAAAATTTAATAGTAATTTTTTAGATTGATGTTTATTTAAGTAACACATTATTTTTTTTATTATTTTTTATTATTTTATTGGTATTTTAATTTTTATTATTAGTGTTATTTGCTCTTTTTTTTTTTTTTTGATTATTTATTTTATTTTACATTTCTTTTCATTTATTTTTTTTGCAGATATGGTATGTTAATCATGTTTTGTGGGTTTTTTTTTTTTTTTTTTTTTTCTTTATATGAGGTATCATCGATGATTTAATTTTTTGTTAATCTTTTTCTTACCGTCTTCTACTTTGTAATTGTAGAATCTCAAAAGTTGGGGCTTTGTTTTTTTGATCACGTAATGGCTTTTTTGATCTCTTGACCATGGTTGTCTTGAAGTTGAGAATGGTCATGTAGGTTGTAAACAATAATTTTGAAAGTATTCAGAATATGTTACATTATTGAATTCATCTTTATTTGGTCGATCGAAGTATTTATCGATCATATCATCCCAGTAGGGTTTTCTTCGTCTTCATTTTCAATAGTGTTTAGTTGTAGGTGGATAGGCTTAACTGTCCTAGTGTGTAAATTAGATAGTGCTGAGGGTAAGTACTGGACGGATACTGTTGATCTTGTTATTTTATATTGAAGTAGTAATATCATCAACTCCATTGCTCTGAGTCTTTTTGCCTATACATGGGTTCAGTAACTATTTTGGTTTTCAATATTGAATACTTCTGAAGGCTTAGGTTTTGTCACGTATTTCGTGACATATTTAGCAAATCCTGTTGTGGTGATGTACTGGAAATTGATGTGGCCTTGCTATATCAGTAGAGTCTCTGGGTGATACAGCACTATCCAACAATCTTCCTCTTTTGTTCTTCTGTAGATGTACCGTAGTGAACAGTTGTAAATATGTGTTGTATTTGATAAAGTTTTAGGAAATCCTTTTCTGCAAACTGTTCTATCAATCGCGGGTCACCACATTTATCTGGATAACATCTGTGACAAAATCATCAAATGTTATTTATGCAAAGGGAAGTATTGAAATATTAGTTATATTGATAATAATAATGTTAATGTTATAATAATGTTAATATTATAATAATAACATTAATAATAATGTATTGATTAATAATAAAATCAATATTATTATTAATATCATTATTAATACTGTAATTATTATTGATATTATTAATGTATCATATAACTCAGTTTTGGATCTATCATGTATGATTAATACCTTTTAATTTTTTTAATTGTATACTTGTTATAGTAAGAGATTTTTATATATACTGTATATATATGTTCTATATATATATATATATATATTGAAATAGAAAATACGTATCTGTGAATTTGATAAGCTGTAACTAATCGGTATAATTCCAGTTCTAAGTTCTGATCTGGTAAGTCAGCCCTTATTGTATTTTTCTCAATTAACTCTGGAATTTTTATACTGGTGTATGTGAAACCGTGTGTGTAAATGGTGCTCCTGTTTTGGAACTCGTCACGTTCGAAGTAATTTTCAAACTTGCCCCACTGTGTTAGTTTTTCATTTTTCCACAGTTTTGTACACATGTTGTTGAGTTTATGATGATAAAATATGTATACGTGCAAGGGGCAATTAGTAGGTAAAGTGTCTTCATTGTCGGTAGACCTTAGAATTTTTTCAAGGTGTTTTCATTTGCCTTCCGCCAAAGTTGTTGTGTAAAAAAGTTGTGATAACCTGAGGGCTCGAAGTATAGCATTTACTTGGTGTTCCTTTTGTTTAAAAAAGGGTGATGCAGTTCTTAGACTTGAGGGTACGGCAGTCATTTTGGTTTCGTCAATTATTGGATTATCGGTATATATGCTTCATCCTATAAGTAAACGTATGAGGGTTAAAATTTTAGTGTGTTTGTAGATGATTATTTTGAGAAATTTCGAAGTTTTGAGCATTGATCAAATTGAGAAAAATGCTAAAAAGAGGATAATAATAATAGCAGTAATAGTAATAATAATAATAATTATAATAAAAAATTAAAAAAATTTTTTTAAAGTTAAAAATGAGTATGATAAGGAATTTTTATGAAATTTGTTTAGTATAGTTTACCAAATTGAAATTTGGTGTATATGGAATTTATTAATTTGTTTTTCAGTTTTAAGTAACTATAGCTAAGTTTGATAGTGTATATGGTAATAAGTTTCAATTTTAAATATATTTTATTATAAGTTTAAAGATATTAACTTTTTTTTTTTTTTTTTTTTTTCTTAGTAACTAATGTTGATATTTTTGATAGAAAACAAATTTAAATAGATAAAGTATACCTATGAGTTCCATTTTTGTTAGATGATGTGCATGTGATACTTTTTTTTGTTTAATATTCTGCAGTTATATTGGAAGTTTCATTTTTTTTCAAGGTTAAGATATGACTAGTGTGGCCAATACTAGTACAATCTAAACCTCGTATCTGGGCAGAGCATTCTGAGTTTGATATATTTACCATAACTTTTGGTACCAGACTGAAAGTTAAGTTGATTATATATATTTTCATAATGACCTTTACCAGTTGAAAATAAATTCAAGAAAATCATTGCTTTGAGGTCTGGATCACTATAAGGAATAGATAATGTTAGATTATCTAGTTTCATAAATCTGGCTATGAGTCTATAATATCTTTGATCTTTGTTGTGTGTTTCTGGGAGAAATCATTGTTTGGTACTATGAGTTCGGGTATAGTGGAGTTATTTTATAAAGGAATGCGATTTGAATTTGTTTGTGTTTGTCTTGCAGTAGGCAGAAAAATTGGATGATCATCGGTTGGTACTGGGATATTGATAATAGGTGTAATTTCATATTGATGAAATATTGGATTATTTCTTTTTAACTAATTGCTAGCAGCAGGAAGTGTTTCATGATACTAGTTAGCTAGCTCGTTTGGGTTTAGGAAGGCTCTAACTAAACCCAAATAAAGTTCAAGTACGTATGCATTTTTACTCAGAAAAAAACTACCTTGCAGAAACCAGTACGTGGTGTATGGATTCGACCCAGGAGTTCAGCTTAATAAACATGACATATAAATTGGTGAAAGATATTTTCTGTGTTTCATTAGCACCTGGGTTATTTCATATAGTATATTCACTAAAATTGGTGAAAATTTTCTAGTATTGGTTTTTTTACAGCTAAAACAGACAGCTACTTTGGATGTTTGTTGATGAAATGTCAAAAGTTAAGTGATATTTCAGGAAATGCTAAAGTTAAGGTGTAGTCTTCATTTGGATTATATTTAACCCAATAAGTTGCAGACCTGAACATTAAGGTTGAACAATAAGAGCATGGAATGTGAGGGTGATTATGTAATATTTTTGTTTCAAACTTATGTAAAAGTTTTTTTAACACAGGCAATGGTCTCCAAGGAGTGAATGAAGATGTTAAGTTGAATGGTTGGGAATCATGTAATGGTGGCACAGTGTTGGTCAATTCAAAATGATTAATTTCATTTCAATAAATATATGATCGAAAGACGTTAGCACTACTTGTATTTGAATTCTCTTCGATAAAATTTGGCAAAGTAGTACTTTCATATTCATGAATATGGTAACTGCGGACTAAGTATTTAGAATTGTTTTTCATTATCAAGTAATGTAAATTTATTCAGGTAGGAAATTTTTATGTTCGCGATTTATTTATTTATATAATTTATTATTATTATTATTTAATAATCTATTGAAACGTCATTTTATCAAATTATTTGTAGGTATTAAAGAGTATTGTGAGTATAAAAAAAAAAAAAAAAAAAAAAATTTTGAGGTCAGGACAAATTTGTTCGTTTTTTTTAAGCAGCTTTTAATATTTATTTATTATTATTTTTACTTTAAATATTTACAATATTTGCATCAAAAAATATATATATATTTTAAGAGTAGGGGGCATGTTGATCATTTTTCATATGATATTTGTAACACAACGTGATTTTTGCAAAAAATAGAAATATGCTACTAATAAAACTTTTCACTGTTACAATTAATTTTTATAAAATTTTTATAGTAAATAAATTAGAATATGTTTTTTATAGTAGTATAAATTTTAATAGCCAAAATATTTAAAAAATATATACTTGTATATATTGCAAAGTTTTCCAGAGTGCCTCCAAATTTCCCGGGGTTATACAAAATTATTAATTTTGATTGGTTAATATCATATAATCATCATATGACAAAAAATAGCACCAAATCTTTAAATATATCTATTTCGATAAATATTTAACCAATTTTAATAATTTTACTATCATTAGAATTAGAAGAACCTATTCTACAACTTTTATTTAATTTTTAAAACTACATTAATTAATAAAATCTTTTTATTTTCTAAAGAAAAAAAATTTACCACTAAGATTATATGAAAAATGATCGACATGCTCCTACCCTTAAGGTCAGAGTATATTATGTTTGTTTTTATACATTTTTTTTTTATTTTTTATTAATATTTATTTATTATTTAATTAAATATATGTGAATAAAATTATTTATATTATTATTCAAATTAATCATGATTGTTAAATTTTTAACAATCAATAGGAAAAAAAAAAGTATTATTAATTGTACTAATATTTTCTTCTTTTCTTTTTTTACATTTTTTGGAGGTGGCTGAATTTCTTCAATAGATTTATTATCATTTGAGATATTCGTGTTTTCTTCATTTGTAATTTGGTCATCAGGGTAATTGTCGACTTGTATATGCATGCGTTTTGTTGAACTTTCATAGGATTGATTTAGTTCTTTGGCGTTTTCTTTACTCTTTTCTTGGGTTTCATCAGGGGG